CTGAGGGGTGCGCATATAGTCATGATTTCATCGGCCGGAGCGCTGGGCGAGGAGCATTCATGATATGGACGCACAACATGAAGAACATCTCGTATGATGCCGTATTTGTCCCAGATGGGGCTCCATCTTCTGAAACTTACGATGGTACTGTTCCCAAGTTCGCTATCAGGAATCTAGACATCGCGTCTCATGCAATGGACCCCTGCAGTGTTTACTCTTGGAGCTGGCGTACAATGGTCAGAAGCATATACTGCCGCTGAGGCCAGGGAACACTTGTTGCTTGGTGGGATATCTTACGGTGGCTCTGTAGGTGCCGCAGGCGGGTGGTTTCAGGGGGGCGGACACAGTGCACTGTCACCCGTCTATGGGCTGGGTGCGTGTACCACACATTCTCGCAATAAATTTATCTATATAACCAATCCTTGTCGTTAGGCGTTGACAACGTCGTTCAAATGACTGTCGTCACCTCGGCCGGCGATCGCCTTATGGTCAATGCATACCAGCATGCCGACCTCTTCTGGGCACTTCGCGGTGGAGGAGGCAGCACATATGGCATTGTCACCTCTTCGCTGTGAGCGCTGCAAATTCGTCTATCTTGCGAGACGTATGGCTCGAGACCTATGCTGGGTTCCCTTCTCTCGCTGACGATGGCTGGGACGGCTACGGCGGTGTCTCAAACTCGACTCTGTGGTTCATGTACATCTCCCCAAATGTAGCGTGGTCCGAGGCGAACCAGACCTGGGATCCGTTCTTTGCACGTGCATCCAACGCGGGTCTCGAGGTTACGACCGCGCAGACGACATATCATCCATCGTTTCTCTCGTTTCACGACGCGTTCTTCTCAAAATCAACTGGTCAGAACGGATTCAACGTCATCATTGGATCACGACTCATTCCTAAGGAGACGTATGAGGAAAACTACGAGGAGTTTGCCAACGCGATGCTTCGGATACCTGGAATGCCTTGGCAGTGCGTACCTTCCCCAGACCCTGGCGATCGCGCATTAACGTATCGTCTAAGTCAGCTTGGTAGCGGGAGGTCGGGTTTCCAAAGCTGATCCCGAGTCCACCGGACTCAATCCTGCGTGGCGCGACTCAGCCGTACACATCGCCTGGCAGGCCTTTTGAGAGGATGGCGCGACAGCTGAAGAGATTGCCCAGGTCTTCGACACCGTAAAAAAGCAACAAGTTATAATTCGGTCAGTGACCCCTGGTTCTGGAGCATATTTCAACGAGGTGAGCACAATCTTATTGAAATTGGGCTCGGCTGTATGATATTGACGGCAGAGACAGGCGTCGCCGTTTGAAGAAGACTTCCAGTACACTTTCTTCGGAGATCACTACCCTAGATTGAAGGCGATCAAGGACCAGTATGATCCTCACAGCCTATTCATCGTGAGACAAGGGTGGCTCTGAGGATTGGGACGATGATTTAACATGTAAAGTATCTCAATTCTCGTAATGATTGTCCTGAGCATCGAGATCCCATTCACCGCTCAGCTTCTCGGAGAAAAGTCAATGAGTGAGCGACACGTTTTCCTGCATTGACGCTTCGGACCTTATAACTGTGCGTTAATTTCACAGGATGACATTGAAGAGATACGTTGTGAACGCACAGCCGCTCGACACTGCCTTAAATCGTGACTAGTAGGAAGCGGTAGACTATTATGTCTCAAGTCCTCCATTCCTCAGCCTCTTCCCAGCTCGGTTCACAGCACCAAATGGTGCTGGAGTGCAATGCATTTATGTGTTCACAGGCCTTGGACGCGAGAAGACATATGCCGTGCGCGAGGACACAGTACAAAATTTTGTTAAATAAAATTTACCCTCGTTATCCTCCAGACAGACTGATCCCATGCCGTGTCAATGTACACTCGTCGACCGCACGGGGTTATTATTCAACCGACTGGGGCGCCAAGAGATAACTAGCTCAAGTGACTATGCTCAAATGTAGTTTTCTTGGCGCATGCCTGCGGTCAATTCGGATTACTCCACGGTTTGACGCTCGTTTGTCACTATTCCTCCAGGTGAGTCGTTCTTGGCTATGATGCACCGCTTTCTTTCGGAACACCTGTTTCATCGCCGCTCATCTGTCCTCAGGCTGGAGGTCCACATTCTAGAAGATGCCCAAGACTAGAGATAGGATGGCCCGCGAGCCACTATGCATTAGGTGCAAGCACCTTGCCTGTATAATGGGTGTCCACGGTTGACATTATGATCAGCGCGCAGCCTGAGACTAAGAACTTGACCCACCACATAATCCGAACACTACGACATCTTGCTGTGTTCACTTCCACCTTCACATTTTTCGAGGGCGCATGCGGCCCTGATGGCGCAGCGCGTCTGTCATACGGCGACTGCGTCTGTTCAATACAGCATATCTTGGAAAAGTAATATTAACTATGACCGCGCTCGTCAAACACCCATCTTTCTCTCCCATTCCACCACGCTCCTCTGGTGGACTCCATCTCGCTGACCTCTAGAGTCGCTCTCACCGCTAGGACAATTCAGCATGAAACTACAGTTATCCACCCTCACGGCCGGATTCTTCTCTATAGCCAGCCTCGACGCAGCCTCCGCGTCTCAGTGCCGTTGCGTATATGGACAGTCCTGCTGGCCGAGCGATTCCGACTTCTCCCAGCTCCAGTCTCTCCTCTCCCAGCCTCTCCTCTACCCCAAACCCACCGCCTCTCAATGCTACTCCACGTCAGGCGCATCGAGTGACTGCAGCGACGTCATCGCGAACTACACCAACGGCCCCTGGCGTTCGGACATGGTCGGCAGCATGGAGGCTCCCAATTGGGAGTCGTACATCTTCCAGAATGGCACCATCGCGGCTTGCTATCCAGAGACGAACATCACGGGTGCATGTGACCAGGGAAATGTGCCCGTTATCGCCGTGGACGCGCGCACGCCTGCGGACATCCAGGCTGCGGTCAACTTCTCGGTGACGCATGACCTGCGGATGGTCGTCAAGAACACTGGGTACGTCGTTTCGCATTGATACTTTGTCTGCGGTGCTAGACTGAGTACCTGATCAGACACGACTTCATTGGGCGAAGTGCCGGACGAGGGGCGCTCATGGTGTGGACGCACAACATGAAGAATATTACACACGA